AGAGAGAGAGAGAGAGAGAGAGAGAGAGAGAGAGAGAGAGTGAGTGAGTGCGTGATGTATGTTTTTATAGGTACATGTACTTGCAAGCACACATCTAAACGAACTCTTACACTTCGGCCCACGCACGTAATAATATTTACAAACAACATTTAACAAACGCTTGATAATTGCCATTGGCACTCAAATCCTGCTCTCTCCCGACCGACCTGTTTATAAGCTTGAGTGTTTTCTAAGAGACTCGGAGCACAATGGGGATAGTACATAATAAACTCAAGACACCTTTCAAGGGATCTTCGGCATTTTCCCCCGTTAATGGCTGGGCTGAGAGAGGAAATCGAACTAATGGAGTTACTCATCCTTCAGTGGTTCACAAAAGAAGCGATCGTCAGTTTCACCAGCAGAACGCTTAAACAGGCGCTAACAATGTGCTCAGACCTGGCAGCATGGACAAGATCTTAGTGTACGTCACGCTTGAGCGAGACCCGAGTTTAGGGTGCTCAATGGCGTAACGTAGTGGTGTTGAGGTGCTTTAACGGTGAACAGGAGCTTGGACCTCGAGCTCTCCACGTTCGACCAGGTGAGAGGGTGAGCGTGAGAGTGGTCTAAGGGCCGAGGCCGAGGGCGATTCGCTTACCTTTTTCTTTCTTCTTTTTAGGTGTGTGTGTGGGGGGGGGGGTAGGGGGGGTCTGCTATCTGAGACATTAAAATTTAACGACCTGCAAAGCATGAAACGTTTCATTTAAGAAAAGGTAATTTGATATTGCCAAATCAAATGAGGCTTCTGGGGAATACACTTCGGAAAATGATCTTAATTTGACCCAAACAGGGACACGAACATTGTGCTTTAGTGACATTAATCAAGTGCACAGCCAACTGTACTGTAGTTTTGAACCGAGACTATCGTGAGTAATATTTAACTTTCAACTAAAAATAAAATTACAAAAGATCTGCATGCTAACAAGCGTACGCTACGTTACTGATTACGAATTAGTTACAGTTTGTTTAAAGTTTAAAGTTTGGATACACGTCTTCACTACTTCTTACAGCAAGGTTTATGTGCTTCAGGGAGATTGTGGCTTATAAAACGGGACAGATAGGGGCTGGACCAAGCGCAGTCGGATACGGTCTGGAAATGTAGGGCGTAAGTAATGAATCCTAGATCAGTAATACTCTTGCGCTCTGCATGTCATCTGAAGCCTGTCTGTGGACTATGGGCTGCTCGACCTCGGAATTGGCAGGTTTATATACGGACTACAGGCCTCAGTAAATACCCCACACGACGAGAGAAATTATGAGAATCCAAAATACTAACATAAGAATATATGCATACTACTGCCGTCTCAGTTTTTCCCACTCGAGTGTAGAAGAAAATTTGTTTTGGAAAATCATTGCAAAACTGAATTTAACTTTTAACCCCTTTTCTTACTTTAATTTAATGCTGTGAGTGTGCGTTATCTGAGACTCTACAAGCAGCAAAGATTTAAACCATTTGATGTTCCCCTGTAGTTACGTTGCAGAAAAGTAAAAATTCAGCTCCAGATCTAGAATAAAAGTACAGTATCTAACCTCAGAACCTGCCAACGGCACGTCTTCCTCTCTTCTAGTGCGTCTCGAGTATTCATTAATATTATATAATTATTTTATATGTCATAAATTATATATTTTCTCGTTCCCCCTTTCTCCTTCTCCTCCCACCCCACCCCCACCCCCTATCTCATTCACTCTCTTTTTCTCTCTCTTCCCTTTCTCTCTTTTTGTTCCTTTGTCTCTTTGTTGCTCGACATATCAAATTTCCTGCAATAACTGAAGAACAAAAGCGGATTTTAAAGCCGAAATGCACAGCAATAAAGTTCCTTCCAATAGGGTTTGCTTTTCAGACAGTTGCTGGAGTGGAAAAACAACTGACAGTTAAAGCTGCCTATTAAAACATTGCACAATAAAATTTTGGTCACGGTGTGCTTGGCGGGGTTTTTTTTTTTATTGTTTTTTTAGTAAGAGTTTTACGGCACTTGCAACAGAATAAGGTCGAAGATTATAGGTGTCACATGAGAGTAATAAACACAAAACAGAAAGAGGGGAGATAAGGACGATATACTAATATGTTTGATATGAAAGAAGGAGCAAACCACACCAGAGCATCCGCCAACAACCCAATTGTTTGTATTGGTTTTGAATTTGCTCCTGGCAAACACAGGGTTGAACCGGCGACTGTGGTGTAGCAGTTATGCGTAATTGCTGTCGCACGCAGGAGCTCCGAGTTCGATTCCCGAATGGTTACAAATTTTCCTCAAATATTATATCGGTTTTTCTACTGGAATGTTCTATCCTTCTCGGCCCGGACTGGCCCTGACAGACTCACTAGAATTATCATTTTAAAAAGCTATTATTATTATTATTATTATTATTATTATTAGTAGTAGTAGTAGTAGTAGTAGTAGTAGTAGTAGTAGT